TTACTTGGGTAAGTTCTGCAATAAACCATAACTCCAGGAGGGTAAATTCCCTTAATTTCTCATCGCTATTTGAATTCGTTTTCCACAAAGCCAGCTTCATTTTTTCTGTCTTCTGTACTCTTCTCACTTTGCCTTTCCTTGAGACGTTTTCATCCTTGTAAGATGACACCATCACACAGTTTCCATCAAAGACTCTAAAACCACCCCCTTTGGGCTTGTTCGTATGGGTAGTGTAAGACAATGCTGCTTCTTCAGAAATTTCTTTTCATCTGACATTATAAAAGGAAATAAGAGAATTTGTTTTTTAAACTCCTATTGTTCAAAAGGTTTATTATTCTTGGAACAGTGTGGTTTTTTAGTTAAGTGTCTGAGGTTAACTTGCTTTTATTCCATATACTGCTAGTAACAAGAGCATGTAAAATGACAGGTAATAGAGAATGAAAACACTCTTATTTTCTAAGCAAGAAGTTTTACATGAAACTCTGTTATTCTTTTTTTTCCATCCACCAGACCTAACCATAGAATTGATGGCCTTGGACAGCAGTGCATGTGGGCAGCCCTGCTGGTGGTGTTCAGTGCGTTAGAGCCATCTTGCTGGTATTTTAATAACACTGATGCTATTTGTCCTTAAACTACACACAGTTCTTCTGGTGACCAGGTGGCAAAAAATTACTGGAAATAGGAGTATTCCAAATCCTGTTTTTAAAAAGATACACTGTAATTCTTATTATGGGAGGCTGTCCATATACATACGAGCTTTTAAATTACTTGCAATGTTATAATAAGGTTCAAAGTTACTAATGACCATGCCCCTTTTCTTTCACTTGCTTATTTTTGATAAAATATCAGGAAATTTCATTAAAAAATTAATTCGTGTCTTCTCAGTTGTTTCTTACCTGAGGACATTTTATTACATATGTAAAGCTTACAAACCTAAAAACCAAATTTAGAAAAGGACTCCTTTTCATATTTGTGTGTGTGTGTATGTGTGTGTGTAACAGATCCATGAAAATGAAATTATTTCAGGGCACGTGAGGCCTTGTCATCTCCAAAGATTCCAGCCTCACCAGGCAGAAGCACAAGGGACATTTGTGATGTGGTTTCTGATGAATGGCTTTGATCACAAAGACAAGAAAAATTTCCTTGATAATGTTGCAGATGTGTGCCAGAGGACCTATAAATGCTTTTAGTAATAGCATTAAAAGAACTCCGATGGTTCTAAGAACAAGAATGCTCTGGAAACAAATTCTAGAGGGGTCACTTGCTTACATATCCAGCTTTAATCATCTCTTCAATGACTGGAATCTTAGTGAATCTCTTAGAAATAGTTCTAGTTCAAAATTTAACATGGTGGCTGAAATCTCCCACGCTCCCCCAAAGCCAAAACTGTCTTCTGAAATAAGATCATTCTTCATGGAGGTTTAAGGAACTTCCAATAAGCTGGTGATTTAAGAAATCAGTCAGGGTCCGTTGTCATAACCATAGAACGAGCCCAAGTAGTGTTTTCAGTAATGCTCAGCCAAATTTTGTGATGGCATCATCTTACCAATCTGATTAAGGCATGGAGAATGTTTGATATTTCAGGGAGTAAAAGCAAAGATGAATTACTAGATCCCACAAACTTCTTGGTCACTTGAGAAAAAGAACTTTCTCGCTCTTTTCTTGTATTCTATACACCACCAGGCAGCACACTCAGTAGAGTAAGCAGTTTACAAGCCTGTGAATGGTTAATCAATGGCTAAGCTCTACTTCAAAACTTCTTGAGTGGGTTAATAGTAATTAACTCTTTTGTTATCTTTCTCAGTGTGGGAAATAAGATATTTTTTAATAGTCTTACTGACTTAATGATTCTTGTTATCCAGTACTTTACAGTGCAAATGTACTATTTTATCCACAATGCGGTGAACTTTTTCTAGACATCAAATTCTTTAAACAAGAAGAGAAATACTGCCCAACTTAGATGATGGAGATATATCAAAATATGCTATTCTTGTGCCCTCCTCCCCGTAAGAAGGAAGGTAATTAAAAGGGCAAATCAAGGTTTTAATCACACATGTGATGTTAAAAGATTATACTGAATTCTCTGTTACAGTTCAAAAATGGTTGTTGAGATATAATTTCTCATTCAGATTTGTTTATCTGCAAAACAGTGATACTGTTAAATCATTTCTCTTTACAAAGATGAAAGTAAATGCTTCAGGAGCCTGAACAACAATGTTTGGGGCATGTATTGCCTATAGAGTTTGTTACCGATTTGATCTTGTAATGTTATAAATGTAAATATAATAAAAACATGTACATATTTTCTATGTGCTCAGTAATAATCTCACATAGCCCATTTTTTAAAACTGGAAAGCCAGGGAGCAGTGTCATCTTCTTATTTTGTAGGATATACATAATAAATAAAATGCATCATTTTTATATCTGAGGTCTGGGGGTAGCTTTCTGACTCCCAAGTTATACTTTTGCCTAGTTTATGGCACAGGCCTTCATTTTATTTAAATAAGCAAATAAAGAGTTAGATAGTGCCTAAGAACTGTTTTCCTAGTTGTTGGAACTTGTTCTTTCAAAGAGATTTGTGCATGCAGAGGCAGTTTCTTAAAAGAAAAAGTAAAAATTATGTCTGAGAGACCTGGGGATCTTTACTGAAGGTTCCAGAATTTGAGGAATCTGGGCAGTTGTCAAGTTGTGGTAGCATGCCCTCTGAAAAACATCAGCTTGGCTTAGTCTGAAGAATCCGCTATATATGAAATAATCTTATTAGTATTAACCTTCAGAGAAAAGCATAGTTGTGTAATTGTGTCTGAAATTAAACCAAATGCTCCATTTGCATGTATTCACCAAACTGATGGAGGCTCTGATTTTGTAATTTTTTAGAAACATTTGGTTTCTTTGGTGAGCCTGCTATTTAAACACCTGCCCCACTTTTCCGTCTCTGAGCACTCAGATCCATGGGGCACCCACTATCTTCCCCCAGTTGTAGACTGCCTGAGATCTTAGTCAGTGGACTGCTGGTCTCTAACTCCTAACAGCAATTGTTTGGCTCTGCTCTGGGGACAAGCTTCTCAGCCTCACAGTACATTATCATGTTTACCACACAAGGCAGCATCAATAGCAAATGTGAATTAAATTTTGTTTTGCAAATTTTTTGGCACAAGATTGTTAGGCATACTTGAAAGGGATTGAAAGATATTATTTCACTACAGTTGGGAATAACAATTTAGAGTCTTCACAAACATTGTAGGTCCTATAATTATTCAAAATCACTCCTACAGATGGATCGCTATCATAATAATGAACCTTTTCATGGTACTTGCCATGTGCCAGGTCTGTTCGCAGTACTTTACAGATTTTAATGCACAAATACCTCATAACAACCGAATAAGTAGGACTATTATATCCTCATTTTACAGATAAAGGAAAATGAGAAATTTAGAAGGTAATAACCCAAGATGCCCAAGATGATACAGCCAGTAAGTGGTGGAATTGGGATGTGAACCCAGGACACACCCTAAGTGCTCTCCTTTATAGTAGACAATATGGTTTTGTCAAAGAGCTCTTGGAATTGACTTCAAGACAATACAATCCAATGACTGTATTGCTGAGCATTTTGTCTGTTCAGAACAACTACAAGTAAAGCTACAACTGTTAAGTGTAGTTAACTAATAGCAAGTGACATCACGACTGTTAATTTTGGTTGCAGACATCAGTAGATTCTGAAATCATTTGAAATTTGGTAGTTATATTTTCTCACTGATTTAAGCCCCTGGAAACATTTCATATTAATTAGATAATTGTTACAATGGGTGATATTTAACCAAAATCTTTCTAAAAGACTGTTATGCCAACGTTTTATTAATGCTTCTTCAATTAACCACACAATCATATTAATAATCCTAAAGCCACTCATTCATCCCTATGAAAGGCCAAACATCCCATATAAAGCCTGGCTTTCACCTGTCACACTTAGGCATTAGGAAAGCTCTTTAAAGCACTTCCCAAGTAGATGAAAATGTGTATGTAGTATTCACAAAACTAGAAATATGTTAAGAATAACATATGATCATTTGTTAAATTACTTTTGTTTTCTTAAAAGATAATTTTGTGTCAAAATATTGTGTAATGGAGAATTTTAAAAATGAAAACAAATATAATACTATGTATAGAACTCTGTAGTCTTTAAACTAGAACAGAATTGTGTCATCCAGTGAGTTGCCCACTTATTTCCCAAAACTCCACCTGTCCCTTCATAATATGAAATCTAACACATCTCTATAGATCTTGAAGGATGGTCACCTCTTAAGATTATGGCCCATAGTCATTCCATTATTTGCTTTTCAAAGAAGTTAGTAGTAGAGCTTATAATTTTTTCTCAGCTACTTGTAAAAATTGACTATTTCAGATTCTTTACTGAATTATTTCTTAGCTTGACCTCAAAACTGTAGTAGAGTTCCAGAACAGGATAACAAACAAATCATTCTGTTGGTAAACAGTATATGCTCCTTCTGCAAATATTTTATTATTGGCTCTGAAACACATGCAGAAAGAGCTAGAATTCTCAGAGAATCTAGGACAAATATAAAGACAAAAAGAAAGTGGAAACCTTTCCAGTAGTAGCTTAATTTTCCTGGTTATTTCGGGTCCACAGTTGAGTCTCTGATGGTCCAACTGTATGTGGTGATTGCAGAGAGCACTGCTTTGTATTTCATTCTCTATGCACCCCACCCCTCATTGGGGAACTGTGCCAACAGGTCATGAGGAGATACATGGAGTACATGGTACCCTACCAGCGGCCACAAGGAACTTCTTTTGGCATTTGCTGAAGAGGACATGAGAGGCATGGGATTCAGTAACTGGGGCGAGTTCTCGGGGCTGGAGGGCGGGTCGGGTCAGGTGGACATGAGGGTGCTGACGTGAATGGGCCCACATATACATGGTGTGCATCAGACCTCAGTGACATTCATTTCCAAGCTGTTAGGTTACCGAGGGAGGAGCCTTACCCGGGCCTTCTGCTCCATTTCTAGCATTAATCTTTCATGTTGCTCAGCTATGGCCAGTGTCGCAGAATGGACCTTCTGATAGATCATTTCTCCTTCCCTTGTTTGAAAAGTGAATAGTCCTTCTCCTGTGTCACACATTCTGTGAGAATAGAGATAGGGAAAGAGATGGGTCTTCATGTGTTCAAGTGCGTAACAGTTCTCCACGCAAAAGATGCCCTCGCCCTGTTGTCACCCTCCTCCTTGACTTTCATGGGAGTTAGTGAAGCAGATTCACCCTTGAGCAAGCCAACCAATCAACAAGCACATGTCTAAATGGTACATGAGATGGAACAAAGGGTAGAAACCCATGTCTATTTAGAGTTTGAGAAGTGTGCACAACAGTGTACAGAAGCAGACACAAGCGGGTTCAGTCACTGTCGTGCATCTTTTACACGTTTCTTACTAATAAAAACAAACATTTGTTTTCCTTAAGGATTTTCACATTTGTTATTGTAACTCTACTTCCTATGATTTGATAGCTCTTGAATTTTATTTATTTATTTATTTTTTGAAATTTAAAGAATTTAAGAAGAATCTGCAGAATCTGAGAATTTTATACTCACTGCGGTAAGAACCAAGGAGACCGCACACTTTTTAGTTTATGGATTTGCAGACACAGGTTGCAGCTGACGCTGTTATTTAAACCGAGAGATCCTTAAGCAGATCTTGTGCATCGTAGGAAATGCTGCACCACAAAGACCCTATTTGGGTGTGAGGATACTTGCTTTGAATTTTGGCTTTGCCACTTACCAGCAGTGTGAACTTGGACAAGTTAAATAACTTGCCTACGCCTCCTTTTCACATCTCTAATGTAGGAACAATAATAACACTCATCTCATAAGATCCTTATGATTGTTGAAAGACTAATCTAAATATCCACCACAGAGAAATGAGTGACTTAATCTTAGTATTTTTATCTTATGGGCTATTCCACAGTGATTACTATGTCATTTCTGAGAGCATATAATAACATTAAAAGTTCTTATTATGTACATTCAAGAGGAAAAATCAGAATAGAAATTCTTTTTCAATTATTTAGTTATAATTACCTTTTTAAAACATATCTTTATTGGAATAAAACCACTGACACCTTGTTAAGGCAAGAGGATTATAGGTAGATTTTATTAACAAAGACTAATTCTAAGATGAAAAATATCTCTAATTAATACCTGAAGCCAGCTTTTAAAAATAATTGGAGGCCGTCAGAGAGACACACTCAATATCGTTATGATGTTAACCACTCAGATACTGGATATTAGCTGGATGGCTGTGTCTTCGGTTTTCAGATTATAACATCAAAAAATTGCACAAGATGCTCATGAGGCCAAACTATGTCTTCTGGCACCAAAAGGATTTTGGATTCTTGTCTAAGATTCTCTAAGGAGTTTTCAGGAGAAAAGAAATGTCTCAAGAGGCTTCAGACATCACAGAGGCTGCGAATGCCATCCCGTAGGGCCCCATAGAGCCAGCACTTAGCTTCTGTGAAAAAGATCTTAATAAAATTCACACAGCGTGAAATGGAAAGTCTGGGGGGAAAATGAAGCGTTTTCACAAAGTGAAACAAATGAGCTTTCTTTGTTGATTCAGAAGAGTAAAGAAGTCCAACAGCCAGAGCAGGGCAGGGATTGACAAGTAGTGAGTGGGGCTTGTTCCAGGGTGAGTATTGTTCACTGCCATCTGAAAAGCACTGCTTATTAGCCCTCGGAAATGAGATAATGAAGACACCAGCTGTCACTCCTTAGTCGCTGAGATGCAAAGGTCTAATACTTGCCCACCTTCTGGGGATGAACTGCCCTGAGAAGGTCTGAAAGCTTACAGAAGGTTTTCTCCAGCCTCTGAAAGGCAGCCTCCTGTAAACTTCAGCCTTTGATCAGCAAACTAGGAATGCAAACATGCTAGCTTTAAAAAGTGAAGACATTTTAGGCAAAGGGTGTTCTTTCTTCAATGTATCTAAAACTTCAATGCATCTAAATCCTAAAAGGATGTCAAACTTCTTCAGTAAGATTAGTTCATACTTGACGACTTTTGTCTGCTGTATTGGAATCAGTCATTTGGGTCTCCCTGCTTTTTGTTTAAAACATGGTCTCCTGGGACTCATAAGAAACAGATACAGAAATTTCTTTTTTTCTTATATGTCTGAATAGTTTTTGTGGGAGTAAGCCAGTATTAGCGAAGATGGGGGAAGAGAGGAAGTCATTTTGATGGTCATTGCCCAGCTACTCAATGTGTGGTCCACAGACCAGCAGCACTGGCAGCACTGGGAGCCTGTCCACACTACTGGATTGGAACCCGCAGTTAACAATATTCCAGGCGACTCCTGTGCACATTAGAGTTGGAGAAGCACTGGCCTACAGAACTCTTTCTACATGTCACCATTTCATGAAAGGGAGCCAGAGATGACACCTGGGACCTAAATGACGACCAGTCAGAAGCTGTGTCTGTGCAGCTTCAGACAGTGACATATGAGACCGAAGGGCAGAGAGGATGTACCATGACCAAAAGGGAAAAAAAATACAAAAAAAACAAAAAAAAAATCCAAAACCCAACAAACAAACCCTAAAAGAATCCTTTCCTTAACTTGGGAAGAGCTAAGATACATGTGCTACCTACATTTGAGTACCCTAACCCCCTTGCGGCTAACATGCACATTCCTCAGTTGCATTTATTTGAAGAAAAGTTGAAAATATGGGGTCTGTCATGACTCTAAATTGAATTCGATTGACGTTTATTTACTACTGTTAGCTCTCTTTATACTTAAGGTATTTTCACAAAATTAATACTTTTTCTTATCAAAAACTGGATGTTAAAGAATATCATCTCTAAGGTACTGTTAGCTTTAAGGAACAAATGAGGGTAGAACTGATAAAATTCCAAGTAGAACTGATACACTAATTTCCAGGATGGTTTTGTTTTTCGTTTTTTGTTTTTGACACAGTGATCAAGGGGTCATTATAACAGTATGCGATCCAACAGACAAAGGGCAGAGATTTCAGCCATCAAGTCACGGTCTGTCATGTTCATTTATCACAGATTTATCAAGGAGGTCCTGTCAACCAGGCATCGCCCCGAGCCTGAGGATGGAAAGGATGGAAACATACACACGACTCCTTTTCTCTGAGTACAGGGGGAATAAGCCTTGTGCTGAGAATGATACATGTGACTGCAGAATTGCTGGCAGGGAGGGGGGTTGGGGCCAACAGGAGGTAATGGGGGAGTGACCTGAACACATTATCTTCCCAGTTCAGTCCCTGATCGATAGAATGAGAGCAACAAAGCTTGGCCACAGGATTGTTTTCATTTGCCTTTTAATTAAATCAAGTGACAGCGGTCAGGAAGGGATGAATTCAGCAGACCGGGGTTGCCTGACCCCTGCACCTTCCAGGGAAAGGCCTGTATTTAGTGGTGGTGGTGGGGGAGGTACCTTGGCTGGTTACTGGACTGTAACCTCCAATCCTTTGGAATGCTCAGCCTGTTAAGAGTGAATTTTTGTGTGCCTGAGGCCTTGAGCCATGCTGTACCCATGTGGCCAGATGAATTTATCTTTTTTTTTTTTCTTAAAGCGAGAGAGTCATGAGAGGTGGGGAGGCCCAGAGGGAGAGGGAGAAGCAGACTCCCTGCTTAGCAGAGAGGACCCCAAGTTCATGACCTGAGTGACCTGAGCAGTTAAGGCAAAAACTCACCTGATTGAGCCACCCAAGCACCCCGAGTTTATCCTTATATAATGCCTGTTTTGCTCCAGTGGAGACTGGGGTCTGAGTGACTCACGTTGATCCCATGGCCTCTGCCTGCCGATATGACTGATCCTTAGTAAAAATTTTGATGCTGAAGCTTGCTATAGCTTCCCTGGTTAACGAGGCTTCTGCTCTTTCACACATCATCGTGGGGGGGAACAAGCACATCCCATGTGACTGACCTGGGAGCAGGGGAGGGGGTGAGTCCTGGAAGCCTGAGCCTTGACCCTCCTGGCCTTCTTCCCTTTGCTGGCCTTACTCTGTACTTGCACTATAGTAACCAGACCTATGAGTAGCATTGCCTTTTCTGAGTCCCATGTCTTTTTAGAAGGGCACCCAATCTGAAGGTGGTGTAGGGGACTCCTCCACTCAAGGCAGCCAGCATGTGTTTGGTGGCCAGTAGGGTCTGATTCAGTAGGAGTCTAAGAAAATTCTAGTATTTTCCCTCAATGGCTCTTTTTCAAATTCCACTTATTCTTTCCTTGTCTCTCCCACCTTGCCACTCACTTCCACAGTCATTTGAAGTAATGACTCCCAGTCTCATCTCCACTGTGTTCTAACAAGTAAGGACCAACCAGGGTTCCTGTGAATGTCCGTGGTCACAGGAAACAGAACTCCTAATGAGGGGTTCTGTTATGCAGGCTTCTCCCACTTCTCAAAGGGGAGAAACAGCTTCTGAAACAGGGTGACCTAGAGGCGACTTCACTTGAGGCTGTGCCTGCATCCTGCAAGCTATTAGTGGTCGCCCTCCTTCTCCTGCCTTGAAGTCTCAAACTTAACTCTTTACAAAGGGGTGATTTCAAAATTCCAGTCTTCTTCCAAATGGCAAACAAAAGAAATTCACCAAAAGTTCTGGAAACACTTTACTTTTAAAAAATGAACCTCAGAATACTTATCTGTGGGTCTTTCTTTCTTTCTTTTTTTAAAGATGTTATTTATTTATGCATGAGAGACCCACAGAGAGAGGCAGAGACATAGGCAGAGGGAGAAGCAGGCTCCCTGCAGGAAGCCCGATTCAGGACTCAATCCCAGGACCCCGGGATCACAACCTGAGCCGAAGACAGATGCTCAACCACTGAGCCATCCAGGCGTCCCTTTGTGGGTCTTTCGATACAATTTGACACAGACGAATCTGTGCACCTCTGGCAATGTTGTCCACGTTCATGGTTGTATGGCTTTGTTCTCTATGTAAGTTTTGCAATATTATAGATATGTTTCATGACCAAATATTTGTCCTCTGTGCACACAATAGTTTTAAACTCTCAGCAATGGAGAAGAGCAGGAGCACTTTCCTGAAAACCCTGTGGTGTATCTATTCAGTATTTAAAATTTAATGTTTAATTATAGAAAGTAATGAAATTCTTCAAAG